TAACGCGGTATAACAAGTCTTCACAACGTTAGTAAAACGCGGTGGCCACTACAAATGCAGATACTTATTATATTTTATAATAAGTATTCATTCAATGGGAAAAGTCTTCCCTTTGAATGAATCACTCCATATTAATTTTTTTAATAATTTAATTTTAAAATATATTTCAACAGTTTCTTGAGAAAAAAATAGTTATGTCTGATCTGAAAACGTAAGGATTTTCACACAAGAGATATATTGCCGTTGCATCATTGACACGTGGTTTGCATCAGAACGTTAAGCAACTCTTCATCCAGTGATGTAATACTGGTCACATTCTGACGCAGTTAAAGTGATTTCGTGTCTCGATCGAACACCGGCGCGTGTGAGGTTTCGTACCATTCAGGGGTGTATTTGACATGTCTAACTTTGTTTTGTGACATTTTCACCACATGATCACTGGCAAAAAGTGAGAATCTTACATTCCTTTACATGCCCTAAAAGCGTATAACATGCCATAAAAGCAACAATAGTTAGAATCTAGTACAACTGCACTCTGTACGCTAATATGAACAAAAATGAACGTAAAAGATCCCCTGTAATGCAAATGTAAGATCACTCCCAATTAGATCCAAAATTTCGCACAAAAAATCTTTTACAATTACATTAGATTCTTCCCCGTATTTGCACACTAATCTTTTCAGACACCGTGTCTTATGTAGAGGGAAACATATTAAATGTCCATTTTACTTCCTGTGGGTGACACTAGCGCTGTCCAATGCAGAGAACAAGGTGTCTGACAGACGAAGATGGGCTTCTGACTGTGGAGGAAACTGGGCTCTAATTTCGAAGGTATGGTCGAGAAAACAAATATATGGACGTGATGGGACAGAAAAAAGAGAAGCTTTATAGAGGTGTCTCACCCTGAAGAAGTGAAGCACTAATACGAGGATATGAGAGGAGTCGTTAAGCCGGGCTTCCTTGTTTCCTCTATCGGATATTTATTAGATCACACTAGAGAAATCGACCTTGATCTTGCACTCACGGTCTTAATCTTGCGCTCACAAACGCATGGCGTGAGTACCAACTTCGTGCAGAACTCTTAGGTTCTCCTAAAATAGGGAAAAGGATTTCAGATATATAATTTTCGGCTCTAGGTTGCTGAACCCCTTATCTTAGCTGACAAAAGTGAATGCAAAATGCGAGGACGCCTGTCCACCAGCTCGACGGAATATTCTCCAAAACTTCCTCTCCAGAGAACAGTTTGTATCTTGGTACACAGGTAAGGTACAACAATTTTGAGAATATGAAAAATAAGTAAAAAAATAGTATTCTAAAAATCAGAATTTTTCAGTAACGTCTGAAAAAGTTAAGTACATAAATATGTCGATTACGCATGTGTTCACGAATTCACTACTCTGATTGTCTCCGTATTCACTTGGGAATCTTCTTGTTTAATAAGTTCCAAGGTAATACATACGTAGTGCGTAGGGGTTTGCAAATTTATTATTAAAAATATGGTCATACGGAAGAAATACTTTACTCCATGTGTTCAAAGCAGCATCACTATTGACATTTTTGCAGCGTGTTTCACATGTTTCAGGTGGCATTGGTTTAGTTTTCCGCCTATCAACTAAGATCAAAGCGCTAAAACACGTTTTTGGAAATTTTGTTAGAATCTTCTAGCCGGATCAGAAAACAGCTTCCACACCAGGCGACGAATGACACCTCATTTGTCTCGATAGGTGCACCGCAAGTGGTCTAACTGTGAGTGGAGGATCCGCACACACGGAAAGTCACAGATACTCAAATATTTTGTAGAAATTAAGAAGGCACATATGAGCCCTCCAGGGATTTAAAATAAAACTATTACATATATACCTACTTACAGAATCAAACCGTACTGCCTGTTGATGATTCGGCTCGATTTGGAGCGTTCGTCAGAAATAATGTTTGCTTTTCCTTATATACGGAGTAATATACGTAGTAATATACGTAGTATTGGGAAGTTATGTAATACCGCGGGAAATATATTTCGAGATTTCAACGGAAATACATGTTTGGGGGTCTCTTGATACAAAAAAAGTGGTATTTTTTCAAAACGTCTGTCTGTCCGTCAGTCCCTCTCCCTCTCCGTCCATCTGCGCGTCCATCCGTCCATCCGTCCGTCCATCCATCTGTCCGTCTGTCCGTCCATCTGTCTGGTGTATGTGACAACACTAGCGCCTAAGCCATGCGTAGGATTTTTTCTAAATAGAAGAAATGCCTGACCATGTGACATAATTCAAAGCTCTGCGATTTTCAAAACCATTCATTAGTTTTTGGAGGTACTTTACATGAAACCCCTGGGATATTTTCAAAGCTTTCTCTGGCTTCAATTTTTTTAAATTTCTTCTTCATGTTGTATACAGATAATGACTCCATCTTTTAAGGAAATTATTGTGAATATGCGAGTCATCAACAATTTTAATCACTACATGAGTTGATATCCTCTGCTGTTTGAGTGTGTAAATATGTAATATATAATGGATTTATTTAAATAGTTTGTTGTGATGCACCCCTTCTTAACTCAAAGGTAGCTAACATTTAAATCGCTAAAGGAATTATGTTTTCAAAAATAAATAAAGTAAATATGGGTGAATTGATTCATGATTCGGGGTGTATCAAGTGCCAATGTTATTATTCCCGTAAGTCTAGTGTATGCTTTTCATCGAGGGAGGTGGTGGTGATCACTTCTCGCTGGTTGGAGAGATCAAGTGCCACCTACGTCATCTTGCCGGTCTTTTTACAACGAGGCGATTATTTGGTAACTAAATAAACAAAATAGAAACTTTACAAACAACTCAAAACACTATAATTCTGTCTAATAGTGAGAATAAAGTTCTCAATAAAATAATATAAAAATAATGTTTAATCCAAATTTGACACATTGGATAATAAAATAATTGTTTTGTGTGTAACCGTTTAAAAAAATCAACACCTTTCTAGGTGACACGAGGCTACTATGCAATAAAGATACTGAAAATACTAACTGAAGCAGCTCTGGTAGGTTATCATGATCACGAAATCAGCTCTTACCCGAGAATATAAATTCCATTCCATGCACCCAACACATAAATCATGCGATCCCATTCCAATTCTTGTCTCTTGTTCACGGGTGTTGGATTTCACAATGCAAACACATTCATCATTGTGTCACAACTCTTCATACGAGATCCCTAAAGAAAGAACACGAATTCTACGAGATGATTGACTGCTGAGATTTTTGAAAGAACTGCAACAAACGATTCTGGAGAGAGTGAATTATTGTGTAGAAAAAAGAGTATGGTAGGTAATACGTATGTCAAAATTGAGAGTTGAAAACACATATGAGCAATTGCAAGCTATATGCGCAAAAATTATTACGGTAAGCAAATGAATGATCTATTTAATAGTCTATTTTTCCTTTTCCCCTGTGTTTTAGGCAATGAGGGGACATTGTCTATCTTGTCTCTTAGCCACGAAGGGATAGTCCTCAACATGGATGCGATTGATTGACCCATTACGGATGAGCTTAGGTCTATCAGATACGATGTATGGCTGTCCCTTCTTCGCTGGCGATGAAAACAAACAAGTTGCATTGTATTTTACGCGCACGATTTCTTAAGCCCTGGGTGACCTATCCCCACTACTTTACTGACATTATTTGAATACAGAATAAATTATAGCAAGAAGCGTCGATAACATAATTTGATATTCAGAATTGCCCCTTCCATGCAATTTACGCGTATTTTGATTAAAAATTAGCTACAGATCTTTTAATTTGGTCTTGTTGATCAAATAAACAAACCACTTATCCTCTCGCATCTTGTGAAACGTGCGCGGATAATAACTAACCGCGTCATCGCGCAATACTTCAATACAAACATACAACATACTCGGTTTGCATGGCTTCATCGTAGGCTTGTTTTAATGCGGCGACATGCATCGACATCAAGTTAGAGCTGGGCATCATGTTCGTACCCTTACAATATACATGTCACAACTAATACAAGTCATATGCAATAATTATAGTCGTTTGAAGCTAGCGATATATTATTTGATAGATTCTAAAACCATTGATTACAACAATAGTCACACAGAACGTATTATTCTGAAAGCCATAAGGTTTGTAGTGACAACTGAAAATTCCTTGGAACTCTCAGTTTCTAGAGGTCAATAATCATAACCTTCCTCTTTGCTATCAGTAGAGGAATAAAAATATTGATCACATATATGCAAAGGATATCCAAACGAATTGACAGATATCTCACAAGAAACTTCGTCGAACCTTTTGTCTAAAATGACGGAAATGCTGCCTCGGGCCTGCCGTATTGAATTTTTATGTACCTTTTATGTACTTTGCAGAACAAATGTAATAATATGTTACATAGTTCAAAATAATATTATTGTCAATTCAGACAATAGGCGATAACAAAAAAAGGCACATAACCTTCCTTTTTATGTCTCCCAGTCTGGTAAAAACAATTGGATTGAATTAATGCTTTATTTTACGTGGAGAGCCTCAGGCCATTAGACCTGGTCTTTCGTCTCACCCCACAAATTTCGCTACGCTCCTTTCACCAACTAGCAGAGGAAGGAGGTATTTCTTGGGCGAGAAACAGGCGAATTTTAAATTTAGCTCAGAGGCGTCATTTAGGCTTGAGAATCTTTTACATGCAAGTAAATCTACTAACATGGGACAGTCGGCTTTACCTACCCTCCGAAGGAAAGCGTACGAAGGATTTTTTCACCCTTACAAATCCACGGCTTCGATCGGGTTTGAACCCGCCAACTTGGGTACAACAGTCCGAAACGCTAACCGTTACACCATCGCCGCGGGCTGGTGTACCACAAGGTGGCACACAATATCCACCTACTTACAATTGAATGTGTGTGCTGAGGGGTATGTTTCTGCGTGTGCTTGCGCGTGTGCGTGCGCGTGTGCGTGCGCGTGTGCGTGCGCGTGTGCGTGCGCGTGTGCATGCGCGCGTGGGCGGGACTCACCGCTCGGCGCTGAGGGCGGTGAGCGTGAAGACGGAGACGCCGATGGACACGTCCTTGACACCCTCGGACAGCTTGCAGATGAGCGCGCCGTAGGGCCACGAGTCGAAGGTGTAGAGCGTGGAGGTGAAGGGCACGCACGTCACGATCAGCAGCAGGTCGCCCAGCGCCAGCGACAGGATGTAGGTGTTGGGCGCATTGCGCAGCTGGCGGTGGCGCGCGAAGATGAACACCAGCGTGCCGTTGCCCAGCACCTGCGCACCCACGCACCACTCGCTCGCAACGCCTCGCTTCGCCTCGGACCCAATGACGCGCACATTCCAGGCATATATACATGTGACTCAGAATAAATGTTACAAACTTCTCGGGGTTTTAGGTTTTTAGAAAATTATCTCTTGTTACCAATTATTTTTTTAATTGTTTCATTAAGTGAGCTTTTTGCGGTTCTAATGGCCGAGTCTCACACTCTACTTGTGACTACTTTTTAATCCGCCAGGCTTCTTCTTCCCTTATTCTACTCATTTTCTCTTCTATTCATTTTATTTTTGATTATTTAATTAAGTGGGCTTTTTGCAGTTATAATGACCGTTTCTCGCACTCTACTCATCAGTTATTTTTTATTCCGCCAGGTTTTCCCTTTCATTCTTCCATTCATTGCAGAATCGATGACGGAATTCCAAGATTTCCTCGGTATTTATTTCAAAAATAATTCACTAAAATACGGTCTCTACTATTCTGTCAGAGTGGTTCCTCATTAGATGGCTAAACTATTGCAGTTGTTTGAATTCTACATTTTCAATAACTTGTTTGTCCATCTAAATTATAAGTGAAATTTTTCGATTGGCATTCTATCAACCAGGGTATACTGATAACATTTCTCCCCAAAATTATTTTCTAAAACATTTAACCGAAAGTTTACGGAATACTTTTTAACCCGGATATTTTATCCATACGTTACACAACTCTCCACCATTGTCTTGCATATTTTTCACTTGATTTGCTTTATAATATTCTTTTGCATGAACTATTGTGAAGTCTACTAATAACAGCTCTTTCTTGACCGTTGCTAATTAACAATTGGAAATTGCTCATAACGGAGTTATATGCATTGCCCCTTATTGTGAAGCAACATCGAATGTTCATGTTTGCTGAACCAGATGTTTGCTGTTTGCACGGAGGAAAATGTCGCGTGTGTAAATACGTTATATGATATTTTCCACTACATGTTTCATTATCAATGTGTGATAAGTTTCGTCTTTTCAACATGCCGTAGAAATTTGTAACATTTATTCTGAGGCAGCTGTAGGTTTTGCAGTTTGTTATATGGAGTAATAGTAATATTAATGGTAAAATGGTTCTAACAATAAAGGTCATAAACGCAGAAACATAACTTCTATCCTAAACATAGTGAACCTCTAACTTAAACGTGTTACTGCAATCCAAAACAAAGAGAGAAAGATACTACGTTGGGATCAGACCACACACCTCATGGCCAAGCGGCTGCAATTGTACATTTACTACTGCTTGCTCTGAGACTAGGCGGTCTTCTAGACTACACAGTGGTTTACGAGATGGTCAGGATCCTGGGTGAAGGAGACCCGAGATTATCAGCAGAATAATTTTTCATCTCCCGTATCTCAGTATTGTCTCGTTTAAGAATAGTAATCCGTAAAGACACTGAGTAGGTTGAAGGTGTGTAATTCGTCAGATAAAACGTATAAATACAACAAAAACTGTAGTTACTGAGTGCAAAGTCCTGTTGTAGGAAATGTGATGGAAATACTTCTTCGAAGTAATATTCGTAATATTCTCTGTCCCCCTGTCATCTTTCCTTATGGTTGCTACGTCTTTGTTTCTTCCACGGAGAGTACGGATTAATGCAGATAACTTGATTTTAATTTAATTTGCAGATAATTATTAATATTGATTAAAAAATCCTACTACATTTTAATCACATCACCGATTTTAAAATCTTTTAAAAATTCCTTTATATGCATTAAAATATAATTATCTGATTATAACATTAGAACATTTTGCAAACAGAAACTAGCTACTATTTTTCTACTAATTTTGTTGCTTGTATATTGAAACAAAAATAAATGCTTGAAGTTTTTCCCTGGAAGCAGGATTTTTGCTTGGCAACACTATGGAAAAAGGGAGAAAAAATCATAAAATTCTAGAATTCGAAGAACACTGTGACTTCATTCTCTGAATAAACACAGATAAAACTTGGTATCTTCAAACGTTATTCGCAAAGTTCCGCTTCGAAAATAAAAATCGTGAAATTCCTATTGCCCCTTCGCATTCTTTTATGCACAAGGGAATACAATTTTCCCGGAAGAGAAAATTGTCTGTTGTGCCTAATTGCCCTGTCATCCTTAACGGCGCCGTATCTCCCTGTAATAATCGGGGCAGCTGCGTAATCTTCCCCTCTGCTCTCGTATCCTGCCCAGCGTTAAAAGTTTCCCTGGCTGACTCGAAATCTCTACGATCGTCAAAAACAATGGGAAGCAGAGCTGGATATTCTAACGATTTGCTGCCGGAACTTGGTAATTAACTGTAAGTTATATAATGGGAGGTCAAAAAAACAGACAGGGAGGGAGGTAAGATGGCGGACAGGCAGGCAGAACGTCAGACAGGGAAGTAAAAAGGCAGGCAGACAAAGAGGTATAGAGTCTAGCAGGAAGGTAGACAAGCACGAAGGCAAAGAGACGGGCTGGCATGAAATCAGAGAGGTTGGGAGGGCAGCGAGAAGGCTGACTCGCAGTCAGAAAAGCAGACAGACCAATAGATAGGAGAGTCATGCAAGCAATGAGGCAAACAAGGAGACAGACAGGCAGGAGGGAAGATAGCCAGCAGGAAGACAGGCAAGCAGGCAGAAAAAGAAGTAGGCAGTAAAGCTGACTATGGGGCTGAAAGTCAGACACGTAAGCAGACGCGAAGGTTACATCACTTTATCTAAGAAAAAATAAATGCAGGGAATGAAGTGAATGGTGGGAGACATGATTGGCAAGCAATCAGGCAAGCAGATAAGAAAGAAGTCTGGCCATGCTACCAGACGAGTGGCCAAAAGCATAGCCAAAGAATGAATTTGGGAAAGCTGGCACTTTACTGGATGAGTTGGAATAAACATGGACGTAGATCGGACACGCCACATAATAAATGGAAGTAAACATGAACATAGGCGGGGGAATCTGATTGGAGTGACATGCGACCGGATGAATGGGAATGGCTATCATAAAGTAGAGTATGCGGTTGAAAGACTGGCATGTTACACATTGTATAAAAAATAGACATAAACATAGAGCGGGTAATGGAGCTGTGCAGTTAGACACGCTACAAAATGAATGGGAATAGGTACAACCGTAGACAGGGAAATGCGGTTAGATAGCCTGAAGTGCTACAGAATGAATGGGAATAGACATTAACTTACACCGGGAAGTGAGGTTGGGCATGTCGGTCCGCCACCCGAAGAGTGGGAACTGGCATAATTCACACAAGAACGGGATCGTGTTGGCGGAAATGACCTGGACGAGGTTAAACGCAAACGACAAATTAAATTGATGCCGGATTTTAGGAGGGGAGTCTCGGGCTCTCAGGCCCGCTTTTCCGTCTGACCAGGCAAATTTTGCTACGCTCATTTTACCAACTAGTGGAGAAAGGAAGTATTTCTTTGGCGACGAAACAGCTTAGCTCAGAGGAGTCATTTAGGGTTGAGGATTTTACATGCTAGTAAATCTACTAACATGGGACAGCTGGCTTTACTTCACTTCCGAAGGAAGGCGTATGAAGGATTTTTTGGCTCTTAAAAATCCACGGTTTCAATCGGGTTTGCACTCGCCAACTTGGGTATAATAGTCCGATACGCTAACAGTTACATCATTGCCGCCGACAAAGATTGTTCCCATTGGAGCAATAATTGGAATACGACTGCTTGCGAGGACAAAACCATCCACCTCTTATTTATACCATGGCCCCAGAAAACACCCATTTATTTCACACTCTGTTGTTACGGATAGATTTTCTCTCTTTATTTTCCTTCTGAGAATGTTCTTCATGTGAAATAAATTAGTTCCCAGTCACATGTTAGAACATTTTCTCTATGGAGGGACGGCTGCATAAATTTTGAGTTAAACCATAACAACAGAACAATTAAATATGGTTATAACAGTCCGATACGCTAACCGTTACAAAGGGCCGCGCACTCCCAAGGGCAGCAGCGGGAGGAACTCACCCCGACGACGAAGATGAGCGCGAAGAGCGCGGGCACGATGTAGGTGAGCAGCTCGCGCGGGTGCGGGTCGGCGTCGGTGGCGTTGCACAGCTGCGACAGGTTGCAGGCGGCGGCGGCGGCGGCGGCGGAGGCGGGGGCGGCGGCGGCAGCGGCGGCGGGGTCGCAGGAGAGGTTGAAGGGCGCGTCCCCGGGCGCCGCCAGGTCCAACGCCGCCCGCAGCGCCGTCAGAGCGTACTCGTCCTCAGCCGCCTCCGCCCCGTCCGCGCCCGGCGCCTCCTCCGACCCCAGCGCCATGCCCGTCACGCGCCGACCCCTGCCGACACACACGCAGCGCACTGCGTTACCCTTCCACCTCCTTATGCAGGATTTACATCAGAAAACTTACATATACACTGGAGCAAATCTCTAATGCTATTCGTGTCACAGAATAAATGGTACAATCTTCTACGGCAGAGGTGTCGAAAATAATCACATTTTGCCAATGAACTTTTACTGCATATAACCGAATTAAGTGCATATACACAAGTGGCATACGCCCAAGATTGTTATGTAATCCCACAGCATGCACAGATTTTTTTAGGATCAGGAAATCTCATTAGCTGCGTCATAATGTAATTTTAACACATCTGTGTAAACCGGTTGTATAAAAATAATTTTCAAATGCTACATATTTAAATGCATGTGATTTCTTTGAGGGAGGAGAATTGGGCATTACATTGGCAAAAATGTTATTTTTGACCCCTCTACAAGCCTTAGAAGTTGTAATTTTTTCTAAGACGTCTGCATATGTTACGGCTAAATCTCAAAATACTACTCTTTTGCATATTAGCCGGATAATTCACAAATTAAACAAATTGAGTGAGTAAAGTCGTATGTAGGGAACAATCAGATGGTTGATTGGCAATTTCCACGGATGGTGAAACAAGGTCTGTAATTTCAACTTACGTTGTCTCAGGCGTACATTTCTATTTACATGTTTCTACCTGATCTAAATTCACTTTATATATCTAGGATAGTCTCTTTTACATACTCACGAACCTAACCTCGCTGGTCATTTCCGAGGTGAGAAGGCAAGTTTCGGCTGTCGGCCTTACCGATTTATTTAAAACAACGTATGTCTGCCTAACCCTACAAAACACCAACGTATTTTGTTATCATAATACTTCTCGCAAACGCCCTTAGAGGTCTCTCATTTAACCATCTTAATTTAGCCACGCAATGTATTTCGATATGTATTTATTCTGATGATGTACCAAATGATTCGTTCATCTTTATTCATAAGGCTTTATCCAAACCATATGGTTAATGTGCAGATTAACGTGATTATCCGTAATTAGCAGTAAAATATACAAGATGAAACCAAATTCCTTTGGAAATAGAAATATTTTTGGTTAATAAATCAGAACTATTTGCGGTTGTCTTGTGATTCTACTGGGAGGTGAATTGCAGTACCTGTAAGATACGCAATACAACACATTTCCTTCCACTATCTTTGCGCCCTACACCTTCTCTAGCTGTAACACTACCCTCTAATGCATAAGCTTAGTCAGAGCCGCATTGTTGACCTGTCTAGTGTCTCTTTTCACAGCGTCAATCTACTAATCAGCTAATGAATCAGCACAAAATACTCTCAGCTAACCTGGAAACACCTTTTCTTCACAAAATTATAACACCATATCAGACGTGTAGTTGTGTCAACTTTATTAAAAATATGGGGAAATATATTCTTCCTGGCAAGTGATTCGTTCCCTTGGAACGTGCGTACTGAGTATCGAAGGAACTCTTTCAATTTTTAAACATTGAAAAACGATCAAATTATTTATGAGAAGACGTTCACACATTTTGATGATGAAAAATGGGTTTCCTAATTTGTTTAAAGTATATTCAGATTTAAATCAATCTCCTGCGATACGTAGTGAAAAATGATAACATTATACAAAGGAGGATGGTATTATTTCGCTTCTACATTCATCCGACGCTCCCGAATATCGCTGTAGCTCTCCTGAACATGCATCTTGCACTAACGGCGGCCGCTCATTATTCATGCACGCTTCGCTTCCAAATTGCTTGCGGCCCGGACGGCTCCCTGGCCACTCGTATTTGCAATGAAAACAGACGAGGCCCTGGCCCTGAAGAGGGCCCCACACGCGGGCAAAGCAGCTGCCGGCGCGTCCATTTTTTACGCACAACCCTCAAAGTACTCAATAATATGATTTGAAATTTTCGGTCTTATAATCTGCGGTAAAGGTTATTTTGTGTGGTAACGTCACACGTATGTCAGGATTAAGATCTATTAGTGCTGTTCCAAACACGGTTAAGATTGGTGCAGGTGGCAAGAAAATTCTTGCAATTTTGTACTCAGAAATAGTGGTCTGTGTGGACGAGAGTGTACGGATAGATGTATCCTCCCTAATCTGTCAGATTTGAATCTTTTGAGCTTAAAATTGAAAAGCAGTAAGATCTGGTTGTGTCGTTTTAGAATATCATCAAAATTATTTAATTTTACGGGGATTTTACATATAGCTTCTTGTTACTTATTCATGATGATCTGGAAAATGGCTTCAATTTTTTGTTTATTTTTTTGTGCATATTTGTGCAAGAGAGTGCATCTTTAAGAATTTTGTAGTTCAGATTTTTAGTAATACCTCTGGAAGTTTTGTTTAAATTGAAATTTATATTCGAATCTCAAATATTAAAGACCGAAATTTCCTTTCATTTACTTCAAACTTGCGGAATGTGGAGCTTATGACTTCTAGTGCCGAGGAGAAGTACGAAAATAATTCATTTCATACTCATTTCATTTAATTTTTGTATTTAAAAAAAAGTTAAAGTATCGTTTCAAAATAAGATTGCAAAATGAAATGATGTTTTCATAGACATATGTAGTCAAAACATATACAGAAGATAGAATGTGGAGTGGATATTACGACTGGCAATTACTAAATATGCGAAAATATTTATCGCAATTGTGCAATTTTCAATTGACCAATACTGGATCAAAAATGACGATTGGAAAAACAAGTAAAAAAACCAAATTAAAAATTTCCTATTTTAGGTAATTGATATATTAGTGAATTATTAGTGATATATTAGTGGATCCAATGATCTCAGAAATGTAGTCTAATAATTTTAAGAAAATAATAAAATACAGTATTTGAAGAAAGTTATAACGAAAATGTTCTTCATTATGATCCCTACTTCCGCTTTTACCGTACGTGAAAGGTATATAAGGCTTCGAAAAAAAATCTCAAGTTTTCGATCCAAAAATGCTATTTGATAATCCCTATTAGCGATAATGTGTTTTGCAAAATAAGATCATATGGACGAAGAAGGAAACATTGTTCGCGATTAAAGATTCGTTTGTTTGGTTCATGCACCGGAATTCGCCTTGTATTGACAAAAAAACAAACTTGAAAACCGATTAAGTCAACCGCTGCCTCGAAGAGATTTATAATGACTGGCTGCTCTGTTCAGTAGTTTTCGGTTGTTTCTTGTAACAAAACTAGGTATAGTAGGTGTATGGTAAAGCAGTCATGTAACAAACAAATATTTTTTCTTTGGAAAAACAATTTTCGTGAACACTCAAAATAGTAAACTACAACAGTTTCTCTGAAAGGTTTCTCAGTAATTTCTAGGTTTCAATTTTCTCTTAATAACTGTAAATGTGTTTCTAATATGTAGCGATCGCGATTGTGTATTTCATTTTAATGGAAAATGTAGTTTAAATATATGAATTTTGCTTTATTTTTGTGAATCTTTAGTTAATTACTGCAAATAATTAATTTTGATTTATATGTTTAGGTTCGTGGTAAAAACTGAAAAAGATTTTCACTTTTGATGTGTGTCAATTTTTGTCTTTTGTTCCCATGTTATTTTTAGTACATTCACCCGCACTTTTTAAAATTTTAGGTAATAATAAAAATAAAATTAATTATTAAAAATTAGAAATAATATAAACAATTTTAACCGAAGGAATTCTATTTAATGGTTTACATTTATAGACATAATCTCCTTCAGACCCCAAAATTTAATGTTCTTCATCAAATATCCGCTCATTAAAAAATTATGTTACTATATGGTGCAAATCCGTCTAGATATACGTACACCTGCATTTTATTTTTGGTATTGAAATATTGTATTAAAGTTTCCTCTGAGAACTCAAAAATAGACAGCATTGAAGTCCGAAAGAAGACAAATTGCTGACGGATTGTTTAATGTGACTTATTGGTAGTTCGTGGGCGGTCTCGGCCTGCAACAAAACCAGCGCCTCCTGCGTCTGTTGCCTTGCGGAGAACTGCAACTCCCTCGCCTCCCTTCTGCCCCTGCCTGCTTCTGCCGCTGTTCTCTCGTCACCGCTGCCGCCATCGCCCTCGGCATCCTCTCTGCCATGCCACTGACGCTGCCTCAGCCGCCCCCGGTATTTCCCGCCCCG